AGTCAGTACCAATATCATCACGTTTTCTTTCCAAACGTTAACGAATAAATTATATAGAAAATCATTTTGTCAGTTGTTTTACATGAATATGGGGCACGGTCTTTTACTCTGAGACGAGAATGTAAATTGAAAGGGTCCGGAAACAAATTGCAGATAAAAGAAATGGATCTTGGGAAGAGGAATTAAGTAGGGTATTTAGAATACGTAATACTTTCACGTGATAGAATGACTAAAGACGGGGTTTGGATTGGTAATTGGATTTATTGAACGCCTGCAAAACATAACTACAAATAACTATAGCGCTATCCCTAATTCACACACTCTGCAGTTCACTATAGCACGTACTAAGTCTTCTCAATTTGCTGTGTCTTCACCAGTCGTTGCCTGGTAACGGCTGTATCGGCGGACGTTCCCCTTCTTCTGGGTTCCCGAACTGTCCGCGTGCCTCAGCTACCAGCTTCACCGCAGCAGTCCTCTCTCTCACTCACGAACCAACTCGCTCCACTCCACTGCACTGCTCTGACTAAACTAAGTCGCAGTCAGAGTTACTTTAGGGCTGGTGGTTTACAGCCAATCAGTTCGTCTTGGCGCCAAGCCCCTTGAGATTCACGACCAGAGATTTTTTCCAGCTGAACCCTTGCGGTCATATTCCTTATTTAACATCTCTGACGAGAGGATGGGTTTGTCTCTTATGAATAGGCTTCACCTTTGTCAAATATGCATCTGGCATAAGTCCACATGGTTATGGGGAATGCCTTTTCTGGAAGCGGTGAGTCTGAGAAAAGTGATAATTTTGAATAAAGTAACTCCCATGGGGTTTGAGATATGTCTCTGAGAGCATAGCCACATCTATATGTAAGTCTTGTAGCTGTTTACTGAGCTCATAGCGCTGCCTCCAGATGTGCATTTGCATTAAATGCTATGACTTTGAGCGGCCTGTGAACTCTGGCAGCTATTTGGTTTCATTAAGTACCATTTTTGTAATGCCCATTTGCGTATTTACGAAGCTGTTGCCTGGCAATGGTTGTTGTCTCGTTTCGCAGTCATTGCCTGGCGACGTGTCTATATGCCACAATACATAACGCGAAACTTAATTATTTATATAAGTCGCCTTGTTTGTTAGGACAGTGGCATCCAGTAGGCCATGATGGGCTGGCCGTATTTCTGTGGTCATAAGGACAGTCAGTGCACATGCAATTGTTATGTGAACATTTTTCAGCCGAACGAAAAGTTGGACGGTAGAGAACAAAATGGGAGAATAAAATTCAGAAGGGTCTTAGGTGAATGGGTTATGATGACGGAAGGTGGATAGAACTGGCTTATAGCTTGCAGTGACGGACTTTCGTGTTAACGATGGTCAGCCCCTTTAGTTGCATAGTTAATGATTTTGATGTTTTGTAATGAACTGTTATACGTGATACCGTGCAGCTCGGAAAAAGCTTCCACGTATACACGTATATTTGTCTTTCTTTAAAGGAATATGTCAGTACTGGTATTGTGTGTAAATTTAAGAAGTTTGAAAACGCCCCATCAAAATAGGTGTGTGTGTGTAATTTTTAATAATAGAAAGAGCCCAGTAAGATATGATAAGTTATTACTTTTGTTTGTTTTTTCGAATGAGAAAGAACATCTTGGTGTCTGCCCGAACCGTACCGCAGCGGACTGACCTACCATCTCCCCCAGGGTCGGCGCAAGCCCGAATGCTGCTCCACGCGATGCGAAATCCCCCCTCCCCTCAGTTTTTAAACCATGATTGGTGTAGTAATCCTTAACCTTTTAAAGAATGATCAGTCAGTCGGGCAGTTAAATTGCTGGTCCTTGCCAGCACAGTCAGCCTTGGTTTCGAGTCCCATTAGCAACCATGCTCACATTTTTGTTGTTTCTACGATTTTACTTGTTTTGAAATGGGGCCTCCTCTTCGACGAGAGGATCCGACTACTATTGGTCACTCCCTGTCTAATGGGGGGTTGCGGGACTCGAGAGGGTACTCACTCACTAACTGCTCGTCCCCTGCAATCACACACACACACACTCTCTCAACTCTTTCGGTCTCACAACTCTTAAAGACTGAATTTATTCTAGATAATATATACAAATGCTGTCCTTGCTTCACAGGAAACGCATTACATCTCCTCTAAAAAGTTTAGCCGGTTAATGCTGTTTAGAGAAACGCTGTTTATTGTGAGAGCCACACAGATACTCTGTGTGTGCAGAATGCAGAGTTTTAGTATGTTGAAGCTGGTGATACATATTATAACAAGTGGGTTTTAGGGGTTAAAATAGTTTTATTTATATTGCTGCTGTAACCGACCACGCTGGACGCCACAATTTCTACATCCGCGGTCGATTCTCAGTAGGGCAATTAATGGGAATATTGCGTATGGAACCTTAGTGGGCGCAGTGTAAGTCAAGGAATTGCGCAGATGCGGGCAGTGTTGATTGAGCAGACGCTAACAGTGCCGATTCATAATTGATAAACTCGTGATGAATTTATTAAGTTCACTTGCACTCGATGAATAATAGTGTCACACTTATGCAATTAGTGTACTGGAACGTTGACGTCTTTGTAACCGCGATTGCGCATCACACATGGTTTAACTTTACTGAAAGTGCAAGTGGTACGGGTCGTAGAAGTACAATTGCGAGACGTAGAACTAGTGGAAGTAAAGATACAGAGTAATTGACAGTCAAAAACAGATTCCCTGGTTTTAGTCCTCAAGCGAACTATACCGACCGAGCGACCGCCGCTTGTCGACGAAGTTAGTGCCAACTTTTGCGGATAGAGAGTGTCGCGTGGTCAGCGCAATGGATCCCCACGGCCGTTAATTTCGGTTTTCTAGACCGGAGCAGCTATTTCCTTGAAATAGCTCCTCAGTTATCCTCACGAGGCTGAGTGGACCCCATTCCAGACCAACTACTTCTCAGAAAATCTGGTAGAGCCGGGAATCGAACCCGGACCTCTGGATCTGTAGCCAGGGACTCTGACCACTAGACCACAGAGGCAATAACAGTCACAAGTATAAATCGAACAAGTCGTACCGGAAGAAGAACTAGAACTTTATCAGCACCGAGAACACCCATTTAAATAAACTCGGTAGGCGGGACTTGCCGAAATCTCAGTTGAAGTAAGAATTTCTAATTGCGTCCCCGCGCACACCTGAATAATGTTAACAATCGGACTGTTAATTCTGTTAAGCGGACGTGAAGTCTGATTAGCCGGACGAATATCGTCGGTGCATCCCACAAACGTGTCATGTTATGTACAGGCGAGATTATCCCGCTTAAATACTGTCCACCCGCCTTCGTGACTTCAAGTCTCAAAAAGAGATTCACTACAAGAAAAACGTTACAAGTTAATCCGAAAGATAACCTTAATTACGCTTCTGTGCTACACCTGTCGAGAGGAACAGTATATCCTGAACACCTGTTTCTACCGCTACACTACATCAACCGGAGTTGGCCATATCCGGATATCTTAATAATCATTTGTATGTATCAAGGGTTCGATGCCGGACTACATTGCCATACTGCTTAGCGCATTCTGTAAATTAGTGATCACGATATGAACAAAATAGCGACAAAAATTATTTTTATTAAAAAAAGTTTAAATACACCTTACTTTAAATGTTACCGCACTAGGTGGCAGCTTGTTTCTCCTATGCTGTCTTACCGCCCCAATTTATTAGTCAAAACTCTTCCGCCTAATTATTTTTTATGTCTGTTGTGGAAGATAATCGCAACTTTCAGTGCGTTCAGAACTGATACAGGGTGTTTAAAATACTCGGATCCGGCTGGAAAATACAGAAGACGATTTTCTGCAGCCACGTAGACCTTACGTGATCACACATGGAAACTGAAATGTTTAAAGGAATTATTTCAAATATTACATAAAATTGTGTCTGCCGGTATCATATTATTTGAATTATGCACGGAGAACAACAGTTACACGAAGAAGTGTTAATCTTGCCCTTTATTGGAAGTATCCCATCACGGGACCAAATGCGCAATCATGACACAACGCTTTGGCACAGAGATGATAGTCACTCAGTTACTCAAGAAATTCCCCGCCTCTTTCGGACCCCGAAAGTTCATTACCGTACCCACAAGATCCCGCCCTAGTTCCTTCCTGAACAAAAATAAATTTACCAACTTTTGATAATAATAAAAATATATAATAAGCGCATTGGCTTTAGTCCGAAAGCGATCTATACCGACCGAGCGACCGCCTCTTGTCGGCGAAGTTAGTGCCAACTTTAGCGGATAGAGGGTGTCGCATGGTCAGCACAACGAATCCCCACGGCCGTTAATTTCGGTATTCTAAACCGGAGCCGCTACTTTTCCATTCAAGCAACTCCTCAATTATTCTCACAAGGTTGAGTGCACCCCGTTCCAGACCACTATTTCTCAGAAAATCTGATAGCACCCGGAATTGAACCCGGGAGCTCTGGATCTGTAACCAGGAACTCTGACCACTAGACCAAAAAGGCGGTCTTGATTATATTATTTTAAACTGTCGGTCGGTTTAATTGCTGCTGATCCTCGCCAGCATAGTTATTCTTGACTTCAGGTCTCAACGAGGTTTATGAACAAGATTTTTGTTCTGTCCTAGACATGTACGTGTTTAGAAGTGGAGCCTCCTCTTTGACGAGAAGATGGGTCAGTATTTTTTCTGTTGACGCTACGTTTGTTGCACTTAAATTTCATCATGAGTATATCCGCGCTGGCATCTAGCTGACTTTCCTGCCTACTCGCAATATTGTTGCTGGCCCTCGCCAGTACAGTGATTCTTCATGACTGTCTGACGTCTCTGGGTGCCTTCACTCCTCACTCACTCACTCACTCACTCGTTTATTCACTGAACTTATCCACTTTCTTTCACAGCTGTTTTAAACGTTTACATGCTTGAAGTATATATAGCCCTATGTGTTGTTGCCTGTGATAAACACAGAAGTATAACCTGTCATTTGTTGCTTAGTAACGAGGGATTTTGATTGTTGCAGCGCGCGACCTTGGCGGAGAAAGAGGTCAGTGCTTTGAAGGAGCAGCTGGCAACGGCAAACCAGAACCTGCAGTTAGTTGAAGGGAAAGGTGGGGTAGGCAATAAGCCTCCCGGGGGTGGCGGGGGTGATATGGAACAAAACGCAATGGACATTATCTCCCGCTCCGGCCTCGAAGTAGAACTTGCCGCGAAAGAAAAAGAGGTGAGTAGAAAATTATTAGTTAAAATAGTAAATATTTCAGTGTGTATTTCGGAGTATACCATAATGACATACCGCTCACATGTTAATGTGCCCCTAATCTTGTCACTGGCTCATAGATACCGAAGGGACAACAATCCTGCTACTTATTCATATGGTCCCAGATTCGATTTTGGAGGCGGTACCAACGATTAGGACGTCGTTCAGACCGGTTCTGGGGCCCACGCAGCCTCCTATGCAATGGGTACCAGTGGCTATTTCCCCGGGGGTAAAGCTGCACGGGCGTGAAGCTGACCACTCACCTCCAACTAATTCCGAGGTCAATAAAATGTGGATGTATACATCTACTTCCCTATAAACCTTCATGGCGTAGTGTTTAATTGGTTAAGTACAGGGAGAAGTTTACATTTTTTACAATTAACCGACGAATGTGATTGATGTTTTCTTGGTATTCCTCGGGCCTCTAAGTACAAATGGCTGTGGTGGTGGTAGTGATGGTGGTGGTTCCCATCTCGTAATTATCTTGTCATTCGGCACCTTATGGAATTCGTAAAATATCGCTAATTATAAAACTGAAAAAAGAAATAAAGAATAGATAGGTCCTGTTGCACTAACACGGGCTCTCGCATTCTTTAGATTACTCACTTTACTCTTTGGGTACTTCCGGTCTCATTTCTCTCATGTAAGTTGAACTAAGGTTATCACAGCTTTCCTCCATGAGATCCCTATATTCGTCCTTTCATACACCCTTCTAACCTTCGTGTATTTACGCGCCATAGCTCAAGCGGTTAGTCGCTGGCTTCCCACCGCGGCGGCCCGGGTTCGATCCCGGTTCTGGTCAAGTGGGATTTGTGGTGGACAAAGTGGCGCTGGGGCAGCTTTTCTCCGAGTACTTCGGTTTCCCCTGCCAATCTTCATTCCACCAATTGCTCCACAATCACCCTCACCTATCATCTGGGACTGGTACAGTAGGCCAGAAGTGGCCGCAGTACAAGGGACTTAGTCCCACCCCACTAGCAATAAAAAAACCGTCGTGTACTTGGTTTCTCAAGTTAGCTTTTTGTAATGAGTGTCTAGTGAAATAATTGTTGTGAATATGTCTGTTCTCCAGTTCTTCATACATGTCGCCGGAAAATATTATTTTCTGTGTTCTGAGTGACGATTTTACTTGCAGTGTTTCTGTAACCTCCAATCACTCCTTTGTGTTAACCCACCCAGATGTAGCTGCCTTCTGTGCCCTACAGCAAGTAAAAAAAAAAGTTCACCAATCAAGTATTAATAGTCGATCAATAGGGAAGGTAATGAAGATTTCATATCCCATTTTTCTTTTATGACAAACTTGTTCTTGTTGGATTTGAGGTTCTCACGGCTGTGAATATGAGAGGGATGTGACTTTGAGTGTTTGCAGTTTACATCCTGTTGGTTTCTTGCGTGGCTTTTTGTTCGACCCTGAAGATGCGTACGTTTCTCCTAAACGTCATTAAACATCTACTAGATTACACGGCGGTACATTCTTCATTATCCTTCAGCTCGTAAAATTAAAACATTATACTCTGTAAAGCAAGATAGACAGCCAGAGAGTGGACAAGATGGACCCAGTTTGGTCGTAGAACCGGCCATGTCTATTACTGACGAAACCAGCCATAGATAATTGCCTAGCTGCTTGTTGTAGGTAGATGTGTCTGTTATTAACGTAACTAACTCAGTACAATGTAGCTTGTCATAAGAAGCTGATAGTCTCTTAGCTGGTGAAGATGTTACTCTTTTATTATAGGACCTAAAGGTCTACTACTGTGTTTACAAGACCCCACCGTTTGACCTCCTGAGCCATATGAATTCAATCCCAGTATCAAATTCTGTTCTGAGATCCATTTTAATATTATCGTATCGTCTACGCAAAGGAGTTCTCAAATGTTCTCTTTCTTTCAGATCGCACAACTAATAATAATGTATATTTTTCTTATTATGCATACTACATGTCTTACCTATCTCCATTTTGGTTTTATCTCCCTGGTAATTTGTGGTTTAGAATGAAAAGTATGAAACTGTTCATTGTACACTTTTTGTTCTTCGTATGGCTAGATAAATGTTGTTCCATACACCATACAGGTTTCCTTTTCTGCTGTCCAAAAACATAAAAATTAGAATAAACAAATTTATAATTTTGCCTATGGTTCTGTATGGGTGTGAAATTTGGTCTCTGACATTAAGCGAGGAACATAGACTGAGAGTATTGCGGAGAATATTTGGACCGAAGAGTGGTGAAGTGACAGGAAGTTGGAGAAAACTGCATAATGAGGAGCTTCATAACTTGTACTCTTCTCCAAGTATAATTAGAATGATCAAGTCAAGGAGGATGTGGTGGTCAGGGCATGTAGCACGAATGGGGGAGAAGAGGGATACATATAAGATATTGGTGGGAAAGCCAGAAGGAAAGAGACCACTGGGAATACCAAGGCGTAGGTGGGTGGAGAATATTAAAATGGATCATACACAGAAATGATAGGATGGTCTGGATTAGATTGATCTGGCTCAGGATAGGGACCAATGGAGGGCTCTTGTGAACACGGTAATGAACCTTCGGGTTCCATAAAATGCTTGGAAATTCTTGAGTAGCTGCAGATTTGGCTTCTTCTAAAGAAGGGCTCAGCTGCGTAAGTAAGTAAGTAAGTACGTTATTTTCGCATTAAGAGCTTCGTTACATGTATCTGAAACCGCCTAAATTTGACTCTTTTCGCTTTATTTGAACCGTGATTGGATATCCAATTCACGAAGACTTGGGCGTGCGTGGGTTAGAGTGATACATAATTACAGACGTTTTGGCACGTTGCACATCTGGAAACACATCAAGGTACATTTATAAGCAACCATGTTAGAAGCCAAACAAGGTCCTGGGTCATTCTGTTTGTTTATGCTTCCTGACCTCCCCTTGTAAACTCAAGAGTCAGGGTTCATCTTCCTCTGTCCACGCGTGTTACGCTAGAACACTGTAGTATACCCCAAATCATGACTCTGCTGTATAAGTTATGTTGCATATGTTGCTTTACTTTCTTCAGGAATTCAGCTCCTCAGTGCATTAGTGGTATATGATGAATTCCTACATTCCATCACGCAATCCTGCTACTGTATTTCGTGGTGTATGATGTCATTTATATTAGAGTTTCCTATTTTTTATGTGTTGTGAGTGCGGGCTTGAATAACTTAAAATGTCACTTGTGAATATAAATTAAATAACGTTCTCTATGTCTTGTGTTCTTCGCTGTTATCTGTAAACATGCGACATACTTGCACATAACTGCAATGTTTATTTTTAATGATAATATTCGCAAAGTGCTTTTCCACAGAACTAATACATAGCACCTGAGGTTATACTGAAAGACTTGTTTCACCACTGCACGTCAGAAAATGTGCAGGTCTCAAGGAAGTGCTTGTTCAGCCCGAACCAGTTTTCTTCGAGGGTTTATGTAGCTTCGAAGTTCATGTAACCATTTACAAATGAAATGACTCAGTTAGGAACACCAATCTCTTATGCTCTGAATGACTTTTGTGTTTAGCAGTGTCAGAGGGCCATGCTGAGTCTGTTAGTCGCCGGCTTCCCATCGCGACGGCCCGGGTTCGAGCCCAGATTAGGCCATGTGGTATTTGTGGTGGACAAAGTTGTACTGGGGCAGGTTTTATCCGAGTACTTCGGTTTCCCCTGTCAATTCTCATTCCATCGCCTGCTCCACATTCATCATCTGTCAACCGAGGCTGGTACAAAAGGCTAATAGTGTCTGACGTACCAAGTGGACTCAGTCAGGGCCGCGCCATAGCTCAAGCGGTTAGTCGCCGGCTACCCACCGCGACGGCCCGGGTTCGATCCAGGGTCCGGTCAAGTGGGATTTGTGGTGGACAAAATGGCGCTGGGGCAGGTTTTCTCCGAGTACTTCGGTTTCCCCTGCCAATCTTCATTTCACCAATTGCTCCACAATCACCCTCACCTATCATCTGGGGCTGGTACAGTAGGCCAGAAGTGGCCGCAGTACAAGGGACTTAGTCCCACCCCACTAGCAATAAAAGAAAAAGTGGACTCAGTTTCACCCCACCACAAGAAACTTAAAAAATACTAACATTGTCAATGAAGATAAACAGTTTATGTATTATCTTTGTTAACTCATGTTATTGTGGCGTTTCATCAATGAATTTTCCATGGATAATTGTATACAAACAAATAAGGCAATTCTTGTAAATAGGATTCGGGACCAGTTTTCAGGGTTTCACAGAGGCGAGTGTTCACGTTGTGATCTGCTGTGTAGACCCCGTGTAGTACTCTAGGAAGACACTAGCGTTGAGGAGGAGCATGCTAACCTCCATCTTCAGGGTTGAGATCAATAGGACGACGATCATGTATGCGGGTTGCGAGGTAGTCCTGCTTCTCTCCTGGTTTGCGCCTAAGTGACCATCTTTCTTGTTAGCTGGATACGTAGCCCGGCCTAATCCTCACCTCACTCACTTCGATCCTGATGATGGAGGCAGCGTGTCCCTTCGAAACCTTGGTATCCACATACAAGATATTCAAAACGCTGTCGCATCCCCCGAGACTGCAGTGTAAAGACACAGAATATAGACAGGATTAATGAAATTATTAAGCGATGTCACTTAGATTGAGGAGCCGGGATAGCGCAGTCGGTATATTGACTGGCTACGGGCTGGACGACCGAGGGATCGGAGTTTCAGTGCCGGTAGGATCAAGAATTTTCTCTTCTCCATGTCATCCAGACCGGCTCTGGGGCCCAACCAGCTCCCTATCCAATGGGTACCGAGGGCTCTTTCCCCGGAGGTAACGCAGCCGGACCATGAAGCTGACCAGTCACCTCCAACTATTGATGAAGTCAAGAAAATATGGCTCTATACATCCACTTACCCATACGCCTTAATGGCTTAGTGCTTAATTAGTAAAACACAGGGACAACTTTTTTTTTTCCTTGGCACTACAGCCCCAGTGGGCCTAGGCCTACCTACAT